GAGCGAGATGAGGAAGCTTTACCAGTCCTCACTGGGGCTGCAGCCCGGAAAGGAGACGCAGGACTGGGGATCGGGGGCCGCCGGGGGCTCAGGGGCTCTCCCTCTCCTCGCCTCCCCTCTGACAGCACTGAGCACAGGGCTGAGGGGCTGGGAGAGCTGCCCGACTGCACCTCACTTTGCTCCCTGCCGGGCAGCACTCCTTAGCTGGCAGCAAACGGCGGCGGGGGTCTTTTTGGCAGGGGAAGACGGGCTAAAACCAAAGTAAGGAAACTGCTTAAAAGGGTTGGAGAAAAACTAGTGTAAAGAGAGAGACCTCACCGGCTTGCAGTGATAAGAGTGAAGTTTTTTGCCTACTTCTTCACATGTCATGTAGTGCCCTCAACTGTGATCCAGATGAAGGCTTGCAGGGCTACCTTGTGGTGAGCTCTGAATTCTTCCTAGCCACCCTGGTAAAGCTGTATCTGCCTATCACAGCTTCACTCCCCAGGGAAATGTAATTATTCTAGTCTTAAAAAGTTGTCAGCCCTCTCTTGATATGGACAAACACACCTTTGGATGAACAGGAGTAAAATGATGTTTCCATTAAATGTTTTGTCTGTTCATGATCAGCCTTCTTGCCTGGATATAGCTTCACTCTCCATTCAAGTGCCCAGAGCTTCCCAGCCCGCACAAGCAAGTTACTCCTGGTCATTTTGCAGCAGAACTGGCAACTCACTTGTTCCCTTACTGTTCAGTTCCAGTGCGGGTGAGGCAAGGCAGATCCCTACATGATGAAATAGCTATCATCTAACTTTGCTAAGTTGCCACTCTGTGGGGGAGATTTTTGTGGGCACTTGGTCTCTAGAGAGAATTTGCCAGCAGAAGTGGGTGTTCAGAGCCAGCAAAACTCAACTTTGAGTTAGAAAACAGTAAAACGATTTATTATTTTAAAAAGACCCACAAAACCCAAAACACTTAAAACCAAGAACTTTTCTAGTTGATACCGAAAGAGATGTTTTCTTTTTCTTTTTGTATAAGGAAATAAGGCAGAAGGAATGACATCGATATGTCCGAATAGTGTCTGGCTCTTCTGTAATTTTTGACTATATTCACTCATTTTAACCAAATGTGCCAAACAGATAAAGGTCTCAAAAGCTTTATGTACCATCAGTTTAATGAAAATTGGTGTTTTCATGTAACAGTGCAATTAACAGACTGTACTAATTTGTCCTCCTGAGAGAATGGCTTCAGCTTGTGCTCAGTGTTTATTAGACGTCAGAGAACCCGCAGAGCATTCACTTCTGCAGTGCCAAACCTGTAGAATAATTGGCTAAATCAGCTGTACTGTGCATGGAACAATTTGTTTCAAATTTTGAAATGAGATAAGGAAGATGTGTTTGTCAGCCTCGGGCTGAGACCAGCAATCTTCCCTTCTCAAATTATGGCCCTCAGATGGCTCCTTCTCCCTCCTATTTTAGGATGATAGGGCTTCATGTGTTGGGAAACACCTCATGTGCTAGTTTTCCCTGGTTTTCAGCCCTGCTGAGAGCACAGTGAGCCACAGCTAAGCTCTCAGAGCTGGAGTGCTGGAGGGGCAGTGGCAGGAGGTGCTGATTCCCTGTTAGTGATGCTGAGAGCTGACCCGCTTGGTGCCTGTGCTGCTGCTCCCTGGTGCTCCGTGCCTGTTGCCTGTTGATCACCGAGCAAGGGAGACAGAAACACTAAAGGGATTCTTGTGCTGGGAGGGTAGTTGTCATTCCACCTTGCACTGCAGTGACAGAAGAACATCTAACGCTGGGTCTTCCCCTCTTCCTTGTTGTGCTGGATACCCTTTCTTGGGCAGCAGACAGCTTTGGGAGTCATGGACATGTTATTCACGGTTAAACTTTCTCTGCTTATGATTTCAAATGGGATGGGATGGAAAGTCCCTCTCCCAGTCTCCGAGAGGACAGGATTGCATTCTCTGATCATAGATCTGAACACTTACTCTCTTTTGTGTTTTTTAGGGTAAAACTTGCTTAAGCTTGGTTGGTATAAGCTTGTAGAAACACTTCCACTGCAGCTGTGCTGAGCATTGTTGTATGACTGCATTCAATTTCAGCCTCCCTTTCCAGTACAAACTCACTGATGTGTAGCTATCAGGCACAGGTTTGCAGTGGGAAATCCTAGTGCCTTTCTCCCTCCCTTCCACATTGGCGCTAGTCAGTCTAACGCATGTTCGTGAGGCTCACGCTGCAGCCCGCCTTCCTCCTCTCCCTCTGCATGGGAGCTTCTCTGTTACTATAGATGATATCACTGTTTGGACTGCCATTAAACTGATAGAAAATGTCCTCCAATTTTGTTAACTTATAGTCCAGATCCTGGTGTGAATCTGGAGGAACTCTGCTCCCACTGATGAATTCCTCTCTATTTGCCCACCTGTCTCTGGGATTCTCTGTCTCTGATTCTCGCTCGTCTCTTGGTAGATGCACTTGGAAAAAAAGGTTTTTCCTTCTGAGGACAGGATAATTTCACCGTGTTGTCTGTGGTTATATGTGCTAGAGACAGGCATTGGTAAGTGTGCAATATCTGCAGATCAGCTGCACTTTGAAAAGCGGTCTCTTTTCTCGCCTTCCTAGACAGCAGTTTAGGGATTCCAAGCCTTTCCCTGCTCTTTAGCTCTCCATCTGCCTTTAAGAGAACTGGGTTTGGATGCTGCTAGTGCTCCTGTGTGGCTAAATAAACAGGGCAGCAGATTACATGTAGGATCTGAAGTCTTGTCAGATATAGATCTGACCCATCTAAAGCATGCACCAGACCTTGTGGGTTAGGTATATGAATTTAATTCCTCCCAGAGGCTGAAAACTGCTCCACTGGGAAATCGTTTAAAATCTTAGGCAGCTCCTTCTAGACTTCCAGAAAAGGCTTCTGTGTTTGTATTTTAGTATGCATGGAGCTTTGAAGCTTCCACACAGAGTGAGGACCTTGCTTATGTGCGTTTGGTTGCCAGTAATTAAGTTCTTCCGTGGAGAAATTGGGTAGCAGAAGGACTGCGTTGGAGGCTGTGCTGAGAGCCAGGCTGCTTTTCTTAGTTCTGCATGAATATTCGTTGCTGATTTTTAGCCTAGGGGGCTAATCTTAATTCTGTCCCTAGTGATGCCAGTGACAAGACTCTCATCCAGTCTGGTGGTCCCTGATGGGTATATGGGGAGCCCACCGCCTGATAACCATCTCCTTGAATGCCATTATTTTGCCACAGACTGGGAGTTCAAAAGACGCCGAATCTCTCGGGCAAAACCACTGTGATCCCATCTCCGAGTCGCACCTCCTCGTGCGAACATCTCCGCTGGAGCAGAGGTTGGCTGTAGTGGGGAAAGGTCAGCTGCTGGGCCCTGGGAAAGCCTGAAAGACTCAGGGCTTTTCTCTAGCCAGCAAGTCTCCCGTGAAAAGCCTGCACCTGAGCCGCGCCGTTTTGATCTGAACTCTTTGGAATTCATCGCTTTCTTCTGGCTACCTTCTAATTTGGCCTCGGGTCAAAATCATTTTAGCAAGAACAACACTGGGGACAAGTGCCTCCTCTTTTGGCCTTTATCTTGTCTAATTACCAGGAGCATCCCTGCACAATGGAGCGGCTCCTTATTCTAATCACTTCTTCTTTACTTATCTCCATTTTCTCCCCCTCTTTTGTCTTCCAAAATCCCATGCATCGGGACTGAAAAGCTGGGTACTGAGGTAAAAGGATTGTGCTGTGAGCTGTGGGCAAATGCTCTCCCAAAGCTACAGCTTTTCTATTGCTTTTTTTTCACCTGCATGTTTGGAGGGAGTTTCTGCCAGCCCCGGTCGGTGTGTCGGTGCTGCTGACCGGCAGCAAGAGGGAGTAACGTGGCCTTTGTCTCGCTGTGTCCCACAGAGAAACCCGTCAGCCTGACTTACCGATGCCCCTGTCGATTCTACGAGAGCAACGTGGCAAGAGCCAACATTAAGCACCTCAAAATCCTCTCCACACCTAACTGCTCACTTCAGATTGTGTAAGTCTCTTACTCTTTTCAGCTGGGCGCAAATCTCAGGTGTCAAAAAGAAGAGGCACAGAGCCGGCTCCTGCTTTGGGGGCTGCAATTTGGTCTGTCTCATGTCGTGATTTCCAATTCATCTCTCACCCCATGTGTCAGGTGCAGCTGGACCCTGCTTTACCTCACACAAAGGAGCCCAGCTAGAGGTTTCCCAGCTGTGTTCCACCTCTGTGATCTCCCTGTGGCTGTGTGATCCCACGTCCTGTTGCCCCATGGGGTATGTGAGCAGGAGTGTCAGACAGGCTGTCCATTGCCTTGGATGTGGAGCTTCACACCTTAGGGAAAAGGCTTTACAGTGGTCTGAGCCTTCTAATGCTCCACTTCTCCATAGGGAGGAGCTAAACAAGCAAAAGGAGTTCCTGGATTTTGTGTAGCCTCCACAGGAGGTACAGACCCTAAATATGGGCTGGTCTGATCTAGGGACACACCAGACAGTGAGTGACTCCGGTAAGTCACAGATCACAGCAGGGCAGAGATGAAAATAACCTCTTCCTCTATGATGGAAAATAACCTCTTAATTGTTGCTGAAAAAGAAACACTGATTTGCAGGAAAAAAGAGGTTATGGATTTGTGTGTATGTTTTTAGGAAAGTCTTTTTGGTTCATTTGTTCCTGAGTGACCCTCTCCATCTTCTCTCAAGATTCAAAATCTTCAGAAGAAGATTTTCCTTCATCTTTTCATTGCGAGGGAGCTCCACTACCACCAACTTCTGTTGACCTGCGTAAGAGGGTCTCAGTGACTAGACAGGGTTTCTGTGCAGTGCTCCCATCACTAGTTCTGTCTTTGATCCATGTCGAGCTCTTCCAGTTACAACTTAAATGTTGTAGAAATCCATTCTTTGTCATCCAAAACATTTATGCACTCAGAAAACTGATGTAGTTTCATGAGATTTCTCAGGAATGTACAGATATATCAAAAAGCATGTATCTATTAATGAACCAATTTTTATTCATACTTTTTTTTCTTTTTTAAACCACTCTGGGTAGATCATCCACATTTTCTCATGTGTGCTTCTGCCTTAGGATTTGGTGGAGGACAGTGAGAAAAATGTGACCCTCCGCTGAGAAATAATTTCCTTTCACAAAAATGGCAAAACCAGCTGTGACTAACTGATCTCTACCTATGAACAATTTTGGAAGCAAGCATCCAATACACAGTAGTGTATGGATTTGTGCTCTGGGACTGTCAATGGATGTCATAAGGGTCCCAGTGCTGAGGCTTTGTAGAGGATTTGAAATTTTCTGGAGTAGTTTCAAGAAAATGTCAGGCATTTAAGACGGGATAGAGTATACATTTATCTCTTAATTAATATGGGATTATAGTCATTAGAGATGGCTAAGTGCACGAAATGCAGAAATACAATTCATATTCTCATCCATTCTTGATCCAAATGTGTTTGTTTGCCATGTGATTTAGAACCTGTAGTTCACCACCTTTTTGTTACTTTAAAAAGTAAGGTACTTAAAAACTTATCTCCAAATACCCCTGAAACATCATGAGTTCAAACTAGGTTTTTACTGAAACAGAAGCTGAAATGGAATTAAAACTAACACATAAATTTCTCATTGTGATGGTTTTAACCACACCCTGAATTTAGTGGATATGGGTTATGCAATGAAAGTGTAACTTAAAAGCTACTGTTTTCAGGAATAGAGAATCTCTGCGAAATCATACAGTTTCAAGGAAAGATCATATTTTTTTTGTGCAAGTATATTCCCCTTTATGGTTGAGAGGAATTTTACCTGAACAAAAGACCTAAGAGCAGGCTTTTGTCTTTGGTTCTATGAAAAGATATCTCTCCAAATCCAGAAATCTGTTCTGTCAACGTCTACTTCTACAAAGCCCATCCTAATTTCCCTGCTTTCAGTACAGGGAAATAGACATTTTTAGCATGCTATTAATTGCATTCTAAGGTAGATACCTAAACTAGTTCAGATTAACACTCCATACAATTGCCTAGGTCTCTGCCTTGACTGTACAAGGAGCAGGCTCAGAAATAAATTACTAAGAAAAATCAATGTCTTAATATTAAGTAAGAGGAATTGCATTGCGTGTGGCTGGATGCTGGTTACATGTGCTTTTGGTTCTGTACCCTGCGAGGCCAGCTCAAGAGTTCCCAGGCATTGCTAACATCAGCAAATCCATTCTTACTCTCTGTTGGTATCACTTCACTGGAAATACTCCAGCTTGGCACTGCTGTAAGGGAAATATGAATTAGGCCCATTCATCTCTTTATTGGCACAAGACTTGCAAGACTGCATCTTCAATGTGTTTATGTTACAACTATGTTGTTGCATAACTTCAGACGAAGGAGCCTTTTTGACCTGTTATTTCTTACGCCATAGTTTTATATCCTGCAGATTTCATTTTATAAAGCAGGGAACATTTTGGCTTCCATCCAGCAAAATGCTTAAACAAGTACTGAACTTACTCCTATGGGCATTTATATGAAATTGCTGTTCTTGGCACTTTCGCATGGCAGGCAGGCTGTTTAAGGGAAGATTTCTGAGCAGCGGGGGCAGAGGCAGGGTGCTTTGGGGAACGCGGGAGACTGCGGCTCTCTCAAGGGGCCCTGCAATCCCTGGTAGGTGAGACCTGCTGATGTGGGTGAAAAGCTATTTGTACTGCTTCTGTATGAAAGGTGCAGATAGCCCATATGTCAAATTCACAGGGAATTCAAATTAGCTAAACAGTCTGGTTTGGAAAGTGCAGCCTGGTCATCCAGGAGAAACCCTTCAGGAGGTTTCTGCTTTTGTTTCCAGTACTGACTGAATATATAAGGCAAAACCTGCCTTGGCGCTGTGGTGCTTCCAGTTGTCTTCCTGCTTGCAACATGTTAGTTCAGTCTTGCATAAAAGAAAAAGTTAACCAGACTCTTTCAGAACATCCAAGAGGTATGGTTTGGTGTCTGTTCTCAAAACATGTGAAACTTCAATTTTGGGTTGAATCTGAAAGCTGTTCTTAATTAACTCCTTGCAAAAAATGGCCTGTGTTTACCATGTCAATATTTCCAAATGAGATTTAGCTGTTTCATGCACTGAACTCATAACAGGCCAGGTATGAATTGCAAAACTTAGATTAAAATTCTGTATCTGTCCCACCCTCACATGTGTACCAGTACAGACCACAAAAATCAGTATCAGAGGAGACAAATTGTACCAGTGCTTTGAACCCAATTATATTTATAATAGCTGCTTTGAGGATGGCAGTGATAACTCATCCTCTTCATGGGTTAACTGGGAGCAGCACTGATACCCAAGGGAGTTGGACACAGCTCTAATATCCATAGTGCAATTGCAAACCGCTGTGCAAAATAAGGCATTTGGGGGTGGGGGTGGGCTGAGGAGCATCCCACACTAGGCTTACTCTGACTTTTCTCCTTTGGCAGTGCAAGACTCAAGAGCAACAGCAAGCAAGTGTGCATTGATCCCAAGTTAAAGTGGATCCAGGAATATCTGGAGAAAGCTTTAAACAAGTAAGGCAAGAGACAAATGGACTTAACAGCTAACATCCCGATTTATTAAAGGGTAGAACATTGAGGGCTGGCTTTTACCATGTGGACAAAATACTCGTGGAATCAGATATCGTTTTGAAGATGGGTTTGGAGTTGACCTAGTGTGTATTAAAACAACAGCTTCTAGTATATCCTAAATGTTAAACAATGAGTTTTGCCAGGGTTTGCGGCAAAATCTATCCTAATGAATCTGTTTTGGGGTCCCCAACTCATCCTTTTTTAAAAGAAGCCGTTCTCCCAAGGAAAATGCTTCCTTTATGCCCGTCCTTCCCCAAGCCAAACTGCAGTTACTTCAGAATCTCTATTGTACCAGTTTCTTTGGAGCTCCTTTTCCATGTTACACTGGGAGTCTGTTTGCACAGGCAGCTGATGCCTAGGAGGTCTTGGCGCTAAAAATTGTTTCTCTACTGGCCAATGTGGAGTGCTATTAATATTGGCCAAGGCGAGATGCGCTGCCATGAGAAAGGTTCTCCCACAAGGCCAGGGGAAAGCCAGCCATACTTGGCAAATTCAGACTTTTAAAATCTAATTTTATTCCCCTTGAAAGCCATTGATCATGGCTACCCTGAGGTGGACTCAGTGTATCTCAGTTCAATTTTGCAGCGAGCAAGAGCAGCCCAGAGAACATATCTGTGCTGATTTGCCAGGGAGGGCTCCAGCCTTCCTGGGATGAAAGATGAGGCAAGTGATGGTACAAAGCATTCCTTGTTTTCCCAGGCCCCTGCGATTGGTCCAGCAGTGACATTTTGGCCAGCAAGCCTACCTGTGCACTCAATATCCTCCCACCCTTGCCACCACGTTCCCACTCCTCAATAACCACGCTGTAACCAACCATGCCGAACCTTGCCCCTGCTGCATCTGTAGGGTAAAGGCAGGGCTGGAATCCAGTCATTTGCAAAAGCAATGCTTTCTTGGAAAAATGTGGGGCTGGGTATGGCCCCAGGGCAGATGTGAGGCAGTACAGGTAGCTGAATGCCCTCCACTGTTGGCTTTGCAAATGCATCTGCCACACAAAGGGTAGAATTGAAAAGAAAAAGACTTTGTTCCCCTATATTTTTACAATAAGTGAGGTAGAGACATTCCTCCTGTGGCCTTTTTGGGACCACACTGGGGGCCAAGAGTGAGGAGGAAGAAGGAAGGAAGCCAGCTAACAAACTGACTGTGATTCCAGCCCTGACAGCTCTCCCCATCTCATCATCCCCATGCTCAGTGCCTTCTTTGCTGCCAGCACTCCCCTCTTGCCCTTTGGGCAAATTCTCTGCAGAGGTAATCCAGGTTAATGCTGCCAGGATGGCTTTGGATTTAAGCACAACTGAACCTAAGAGTAGGATGTGGCTCATGCTGACTATCCTAGGGGCTTGGGCTACTTTGTTTTCCAACGTGGGAAAATTCTCAAGCCCTTGCCTAAGTTGCTGTTTGCTGTCATCCCCAATGAAGCCCTTGGTGCTGTTCATAAGACCTGAAACTTAGGAGGCACTTAAGGAATTTGTAGGGTTGGGCAAATGTGGTTATGTGCCCAGATCCTGCTTGCCTGACTTAGGGGAACAACTTGGCTGGAACACGTTTTGCTCTCCCTTCCACTGGTGAAGATCTGGGGACAGCTCTACTGAAACCAGTGAGCCCATACCTGATCTCCAGCCAGATTCTGGGTTTTGTTTACCTAACACTAATCCAGAAGCAATTCTGCTAAGCTGGTGGATTTCATTTTGTTTTACATTGAGTAACAGAAGAGAATTTGCTCCCAGCTCTATGAAATAAGATGTCAGAAAGCATATATCTCCATCACCTAATCCTGTAATCGTGGCATTATTTTCATTTTCCATCTAGTAATGCTAGCACCAGTGGCATTTTTATGCTCCACAGACAGTCAGGGCTTTGTCTGTAGCATTTTCACAAGGCATGTTTTTGATATATTTTAGTGCACAGCTTTGACTTCTTCAATGAAATGTACTTTGGAATATATTTATAGCACATCAAACAATTCATATATTTGAATTGGAGCCATATGAATGTTGGTAGTTTAAAACACCGATATCCTTCTGAACTACTAACAGCTTGTAAAATAAATCTATATAGATCTATAAATGTTAATGTAGCTATCAATTTCAATCAGCCATATATTATATTTTTTCACTTGTACTGAAATTGTATGAAATGTGACATTACCCTATATGCACTAGCAATAAAATGGCTAATTGTTTCATGTTATAAAAACCCAATTGTACATGGGAATTTATTTTTCTGGAATAAAATCAATACGTTTTGTAGAAAGGGCTCTTGTAATTGCTTAAGTAAAATCCAAAGTGTCAAGACATCTTAATCTGTACCAGTGCTTCAACATAAGAGTGTCTTCTGTGTTATGATCTGCAGCTAAGGGCAGGGAAAAGTGCATGGAGTATAGTAGTCTGATACAGTTGATTGTGAAACCAGAGATGGTTTTTAGTAGGGAATTATTTTGCTCACTAATTCTGCTTAGCCTTTATTATTGCTTTATATTCATCACATCTCCATGTAATATACAGACTTATGAGACATCAGTAAAATACGTTCAGGCTGTCAGGAAACCAAGTTCTTTAACTGGCTTTAAAAATCATTGTGCAGCTGCTATGGCCAACATCATTCAGCATTCATCCATTTTATAGACAAGGGGCAAATCAGACCTTTCTTGAAATAGCTAAAAAATCCTTTATCGCTTCCAGGCAAACCCAGTCATCATTTACAGTATGTTGACTGCCTTTCTTTTCTCTTCTCTCTTCATGCAGGGATCTGCAAAATCAGTCCCTTGCAGAGCAAACAGAGTCCGGAGAACAATCTGTGCTTGTCCATTGTCATGTTAATATAGTCCCACCTCAGAACTTCTCCTCAGCCTAAGATGCTGGAGTCCATTAAGCTCAGCAGCTGCTGCTGGCACAGGCAAGAGAGCTAATGGATATGGAGAAGATAACAAAGTCAAATAGGAAAAACCTTTCCCTTGAGCCCACTGGGAGAAAGTAAAGGAAACTCTCAACTTCTAGGGGCTAGCTGTGATGGGAACCAAGTCCTGTTGCTGCCTTCCTCCATAGCACTTGTAAACCCTGATGTGGCAGCTCTTCCTAATTTCTGACCTCATCTGTAAAGAAATACAACCAAACCGACTACCTCCCAGAACTCTGCCAAGTGTGTGCTGGGTGAATACCCCGTATGGAGGGGAACAGTGTAGGTGAACATCTTCATAGCCTTGTTTGAAGGCATGGAATGCCCACAAATCCCATAGAATAGCCACCATTCCATTGGGAATGCTGGGTGGGAAGGCAGAAACCCAGCCCTCCTCTGCTTTCATTATACCTCGGGGGGTATCGCGTGGATGGTGAGGCTCCTGGCTGATAAGTTCTGGCAGCCATTTGGAGAGACTTTGGTGTTTTGGGGAAAAGAGTTGTTCTGGCCTCAGAATTTGCAAATGTGCTGTCACCAGGGCGCTTTCATTTGCTTACTGTTCCTCTGAGGCAGAGGGTATATGAAAGGGGATGTGATCTTCATTTACACCCTGCCAGCAAGATGTGAAGGGACCATAGGATAAATGTGAATAAGGCCTTTGTATATGGATAATTTATGGCAGTCTTTTTGTATTTTTCTTTTAATTTAGACCACGTCATCGCACTCATAAAAAAAAGCAACAGAAGAAACGGGGCCCACTCTGCCCTTCCCGTGCAACACCACTAAAGTCTCCAGGGAGAAAGAATGGTAGGAGGCATTAGTTTCTGAGCTGGGATACTTCAGGTTCAAGTCCCTGCTGACCATCCTATGTGACCTTGGGCAAATATATTAGACTACCCAGACCTCCATTTTCCCCCGTGTTTGTTGAGGATAGCAGCTGTGCCCTCCCTGCAAGCGGGTGTTGTATAGACAAAACTTTTTTAAAACAGGGGGAAAGTTCAGCCACAACGGAAATGGGAAAACTTTCCCATTTGATAGATGGGAAAACAGATACCCAAAGAGGCTAAAATAACCCTGAAGCAAAGGTAAAGTCAAAAACAGAGTAAGGGTTTGGAAACCCTATGTCTTTAGCTGGCCATAGTCCACCAAAACCAAACTGACAGAGTTAAACTGTAAATAACAGCTGAGAATTTGTCACTGGAGTTTTTTAATGACAAAGGCAGCACTGGTTGGTGACAAAATGATTTGGAGCATTAGTGGCTGGCTGACACCTCTCCTATGGGAGATGCTGGGCAAGTCCGAGAGGATGCTATGATATATGCCAATGCTCTGGATGTCCCAGTTTTTTTTTTTCCCACCAGGGTGGTGTGTCCTGCCTTTCTGCACCAAAAGAAGTAGGGTTACTGGTGTGGGATATTGGAAAGAATATTTTCAAAGCGGAAATTTTTTCTCATAGCTTGGTCATCCTCTTTATGCCTGGATGAGTTTTCTGAGGCTGCCTTTACTGAGAGTGGCCACACAGTCTTAGCTGCCCAGCAGGCATTGAAAGGGGTGTTTGTTCTGATCTTGTAGACTAGACAAGACACACTGGGACATCGGGGTTTTTGAATACTTGGGTGTTTACCCTCTGACACTTGTAACTCAATCTTAGTGACATCTAGATAGTGAAGGGTCGATCAGTCTGGAGCAGGTGTAAGGGGTCACTTCAGAGAAAACTTGGAGGCCACCAGCACAGCCTGCCTCCTCGTTCTGAGTGAACCTGCACACAATACACTTGCACTTTGCTGTGATGTCTAACCCGCCACTCCTCCTGGGTACCATGCTCACACGGAGCATGAGAGACTCAATTTGTCTGCCTCCTACCCTGCTCTCCCTACCTCTGCACGGAACACCTCACACCTTGGCTGTGCAGCATGTGGGTGCTCACCCTTCCTGTCACCCCACCCTCGCTGGGCAGCTGGTCACCACGAGCTGTGACATGCTGCCCAGCCGCTCACAGCAGATGAGGTCCTGGGGCAGGGAGACCATGGGGACAGCTGCACACGCGGAGGCCTCTGGTCTCCAGCCACCCCATGACCGGAGCTGAACACTGACAAGAGCAGAGCATGGTCTGTCCTCTGTGTTCCTCCATCCTCACAGAGACCTGGCACCCCGTGGAGCTACAGTCGATGTTCTCCAGCAGAGTGGTGGAGTGGGGGCAGGTAAAGGAGGCATTCCCAGGGCCACTTGCTCCGCTACTGGGGCTGCTCACAAATGATTAATTCCTCCTTTCCTGCTGTTTTGTTTTGTTTGGGTTTTTTTGCCAAGTCTCCTTGCCTACCGATAATTCTCTGCTCTGACTTTCAAGTCCAGAATAAGCTTCCTAGCCAGCCTTCCTCCTGTGTTAGCTCTGAGCACCTTACTAACCATGGTGAGCCCAACCTGCCTAAAATAACTCCCACTGCTGGGTTTGCCCTGCTGGGTCTCAGTAGCTCCTTGTGGAGAACTTCCCCCAAAATGTCTGGCAAATGCTGGTTGGAGGGGCTGCAAATGAAATGCCTTTGGGTTAATCCAGACACAGATTTGCTGTTTGACTAGGCCTGATATCAAAACTTTTGCAACTGAAATAAACCTTAATAGTGTTTCACTCTGTTCTTCATCAACAGGAGGTTCAAGATGTAAGAGGCAAGCATTGTAAGCCGTCTACAGGATTTCTTACTGTAGGACCCAGAGAGCAGATAACCAGTATTAGGGAATGAATACATTTCACTGTTATCATGCAGCACAAAAGCAACGCTTCATGCATTTCCAAAGTTTTTTTATGTGATTTTTTTTTGCACAAATTGGCTTGCTTTCACAGTGCTATTTTTGTATAGTAAGATGTAACTATTTGAGAAATGTATGTTTTTATACAGGTTGGTATATTACCTAGCACTGAGGGCAGATATGAATTTAAACTAACCCTATGTTATTACATAATATTTTATTTCCTTTGCTATGTAGAGGTCCTGCTTTATTTAACTTTCTTTTGGTTCATGCAAGTCTCCTGGAGTTTTAAACCTAGAAGGACATGAACTGTACAGTGCAATGATATTGTGTAAGTAGCGAAGAAACTCCGTGCCCCCAGAAGTCGTCGAGGCCAAGAACATAGGAAGGCTAAAAAGCATCAGACATTGATGAAAGTGGACAGCATTACCATGGGTGGCACTTACAGGTGTTTTGGGTGAGGGATTAAACTCAGGGCTACAGGGCTAAAGCTCTTCTCTGAAGATCAGAGACCTTGGTGACAGCTATGAGCAGCTGGGTCAATGCACATCTGGTATTGCAGGGTGCTAGTACTTGGTTTGTAGTAGTTGTGTGTGTTAGGAGCCACAACACTGATCTGATGTCACCTGGCATTTCCTATGTTCCTGTGTTACTGACGACAAATTTTAGCACAAAAAGGAATGGGTTATTAAAGGTCTAACCACACGATCATGTTTCAAGTTGCTGGAGGAGTCAGATATGCTGCCACGCACCAGGTTCTTTTCCCACCCATCCACAGGAGGTGGCTTCAGCTCGCCTGGCTGGCTTTGCACTGAAGTAGGCGGAGATGCCTTCATGTGACCCTTCAACAATGATGCTGTAGCCTTGGCTACTGAACAGTCATATGTACTTGAGGGCAGTAACATCTTTGATTGTTCCGGAGATACCTAGAAGAGAATATCTGGACCTGTCTTTGGAGAAAAGAGATGCCTGGGGCAAGAGAGAGTCTGCCGAGTTTGTGGAAGGAGCTTATGGAAGGAGCAGTGTACAGAATAGCCTCTGGAATTTCCTTTGCAAAGCGCACCTGGGGACAGGTACCTCTTCTTGTTCCAATTCCCTCTCTCAGCCAGAAATTTCTTTCTCCTGGTTCCTACCTGTATACGCAATATCTTTGCTGTACAGTGAATGGAAAGACACCTGCAGTGCTGCCATAATCATGTTATGCTGCGCACTGGGATCTGGGGGGAAGCACATTTGTGCAGCACAATGCTTGTGTTTGTATGTATCTCTGTGTGTATTGTGAACAAAAAACTGTTGTAAGATTGTATTTTTTTTTTTGAGTGGGTTGCTTCGGAAGGAATCTTCCCTGCAGCCTGCGTCGGGAGCACTAAGAGGGGTTGCTTCACTAAGCACTCCTTTTCGTGGCAGGCATCTGTAGTGCCAAAGAGGCACTTTGGCTAGTCAGGGACTGTTATTTCCAGGTGGATTCAGGTAAATATCTTGTAAGTATTTTCCTCTCTGGGAAACAGTGCTATTACAGAGAATGCTTCAGCTGGGACCACATCACCTCGTTTGCTTTAAAGTAGAAATGAACTGCTGTGCCTAAAATGTATGTGTGTGTGATTTTGACATCCCTTCTATTGTTATCATTACCAACCTGGTGCTTTAAGTATATTGTGTCTCTGTTTTGAAAGGTGTGATACCTCTGTACTTGACGAGAATTGGAGTGTTGATTTAATGTGAGTAGGATCAGGTCCTCTGTTGTAAGGGTAAAGACAGAAAGAATTTTTATGAAAAAATTAGAGTTTCTTGTATATTCCCTAGACTGTACTTTATCCCCACGCATGCATCTGCAATTGCTAGTGGTTTTCCAACGCCAAGAATGACTTTGGGGAAAGTGTGGAAGAATGTTGGTTCTGACACAGACATGGAGCTTGTCCTTCTTACTCAGGAAGGTGCACTCTTCACACACAGCTTGAGGTCTGATCGATTCCTATTGGAGTAAATGGAGGATTAAATAATCCTCTGATTTTGATTCAACCTTGCTGCTGATGATAGGGGCCATGAAGATTTTGTTTCTAGGGGAAACATTTGGCATTCCAGTGAAAAGATGTGGTGGATAGATGTGGCTGTGCAGCCTTGCCAGTGCTCTGCTGCAGTGCTCGTTGACAGGGAGCACATCTGGGGTCAGCACCAGCAGGGACGGGTCTCTGAGCACATGCCAACCCCACGTTACAGCCTGGGCAAACAGACTGCTTTGACAGAAGCCTTGAGATGGGCAGTGCTGGAGCACCTTGACAAAACCCCGAGGTCCCAGCTCTGGAACAGTATAGTACTGAAGGAAATGGGGCCACCTGTCAACCTTCTGTTCTGGAGACAAACTAGTGAGTGTAGCGGGAGTAGACTGTGCCAAAGGAAGGGCATTTGCTCCTGGGAGAAATACATGAGTAGCAGCAGGAAGGAAAGGGCCTCCCTGCAAGGCTGGGGAACATTTACAGCCAGGCAGTGGTTGTCTGGGCGCCTCTTGAGCCGTCTGCCTCTGGCATTTCTTGAGAGTCACACTGAGACCTGTGCCCTGACACTGCTGTGCTGGTGACGATTCATGGCTCATGCAGCTGAGACCACTTGGGGCATGGGGCTGCTCTCCAGGAGCAGCACCATGTTCCTCCCTCACCTTGGCAAGGCTGGGCACTGCAAGAATGGGGGGGACGGCGGGGGGAACAGACCTGGCCAGGAGTAACCAATACTTAAGTGAGAACCTGATAAAAGCTTTCTTGTGCTTTAGACCAAAATTCAACCTTGAGTGGGAAGCTTTGCTCTTTGCCTGACATTATTTACGTGGTGCATCAGGAAGAGCAGTCATGCCCTTCGCACCGGAGAAATCCATCACTGGGCTGCCCCAAGCTCCCTGCGCTGTCCTGTGCATCGCACGCCGCTCCTTCTGTGCACACCACGGTCTGAGCAGGCTGAGAAGCAGCACTAGCAGAAACTTGCTCTGGGAGAGCACTTAGTTTTAACCGTTGACCAAAGACCAAATCAGGGAAAAGAAATGTGGGGAGATGGGAGTGATGTAGGGACCGTACGTGAAGAGAAGGAGGGAAAAGAGACAACACTGGTGCTGAAAAAGCAGCTTCCATAAATGTGAAATTGTCACGTGTGGTGTTTTCAAAGTGCAGCTGTTGAATCCTAAGGTTGGATTTTATTTTTTTTTAAAGAATAGATGGTATTTATTGCTGTGCCAATTTTTTATTTATACTAGCTTTATACTTGTCTGTATGAACATCTTATCTGAATTCTGCCTGAGGAAGGATGAAGAGTGGCTTTCTGATGTGTTTTTAACTAAGGTGTTCAAGAAAAGGTGACTGTTCATTTTGAAATGAAGGCTATATTCAAAGTAAAATATACACATTTTGTTGAAAATGCAGTTCCTATAGAAGTTTTTGTTCCTATTTTCTCTTTTTTTAGCATCTAGATGGTCCTTCTTTTCTCTGGCAACTTGTTTTGAGTGATGCGATTTATAGTAACAAGGGGTTTCTGAGAACTCGTCACCTAAAATCTGAATTTTTTTCTTTACCAACATCCCACCAAGACAAGCCTTGTCTGCAAACATGAAACTGGTGGCCACAGAGAAGAAAGCATGTATCATAATGAAAGGGCTGCATGAACCTCCCATCTTCTACTCCTTAAGAACTCAGTGTTGTCAGAATGTGGTAAATGCTGTACTTTATATTTTTATTAAGTAAAAAGAAATATCTTCCCATATAATGTGAAAAGGGTTTTGTATTTGTGTTCCTGTAAGGCAGCTTTTATGGAGGAGTTATATTATGATTTTGAAATTACTCCTTTCATAGAACATTTTGAAAATAAACACTTTTATATTGTTGTAATTTCTCCCATAAATCTGTATGCACTTAAAATTTTCTTAATAAAAATGACCATCTATATGAAATTATTACTTGCTTCTAATTTTTTTTCCTCATATACAAAGAGCTAAAAGCTTCACATCAGAAAAACCATTCAGATGTAGTTTTAAGTGTCCAGTTTCAAGGATTCTTCCATGTAGCTCCATGGGCTCAGATTCTCTGCAGGGAACCTGAGGCAAAGTGCCCATGGGTTTTGGCAGGGAGCAGCAGCCTGGCAGATTGAAATGTGCCATCTTCAAAAGGAAAGGCTTAACCATTTGCTCCCTAAACAGAAGCCTAAACTTTTTTTTTTTAAAAAAAACTTCCCCCCCGCTCCCACATTTTGTCTCCTGCAGCAGGTTGACTTCAGTGGAACTGAAAAGTGTGACCTGTTTTTGCTCCAGCAACGGGGTTGCCATCATCTGTGCTGGGGAAACGATGAGGGTTTCTCTGAAGAGCCTGAGGGGTGTCCAGGGATGTGTTTGACAAAAAAGCAGACATTGTAAACAACACCTTCCTTGGGGCTGGTTTTCCCAGGGCTTAGCAGGGTCATTCTTCAGTTTGGAGGTGGGGAATGGTTTTAGAGGCTTGTAGGACTGGCCTGAGATGCTGGAGGTATAGTCCTACCTTGGATGATGTCATAGGGAATTTGCTGTGAGTTTCAAAACCATGAGTTGAAAACTGTTTTTTGTGAGTGCCTTCCCCCATCTCTGAGTCCCTGTGACAGGGGAAAGTGTCTCCTCAGGTCACCCTGCTCCTGCCACAGCTGCCTAACGTGCCAGTCCTCCTCCATTCATCCACTGCAATGACACAGGTGAATCTCAGCCTCAGGTACAGCTCTGGCTGCAGCAAAGGTTAGGGATAGTTTAATATCTCATAACAGTGAAACAATGCTTGAGCCTTACCGAGCTTCTTATTCAATAAATATTTCTTGGCCAAATTGATGCAAGGCAAAAGACATGCAAAAAAATGGAAAAAGGAAATTCAGATGATCCCTTTGCAAATCCAGCAATGATTTAGTAAGAGATTATGAAAAACTGAGCGGGTAACCGTGAGTGCAGATGGTCAGTGAGAGATTCCCAGACTGCTGGGAAATGCATTGGGAGTAATTACAAAATTAGATGTTAGTATTAAGGAAAGGCCCCATGTTCTGTGCAGCACTTTGCTGCACAGCTCCTTTTCTCCTGATTGTGAAAGTTTTGGCTCCTACTTCCTCTGCAAAGCATCATGGCAAAGTATACACAACCTGCCATGGAATTAGTGGTGAACCCACCTTATTAGCACATCTGGCTCTCTTCACAGGCAGCTTTCCAATATTAGCAAGCTGAAGGAAATCAGCTGCATTCATGGCCTCAGCCATCCTGACACTGATTATGGGCTGGATTTATTAGGCTCTGGTGTGGTATAGGTCAGAAGACAGCATGGGAAATGCCCCTACTTCTTGAGACCAGCTGGGCATGTTACTGCTGAGGATGTTACCTAGGAGCTGCTGTGATGCTACATGATAAGGGTCAGCCCGAGCTTCTGGTGAGCATCTCCCTGTTTTATAAAGCTACTTGCTTTTGAGTAATCCCCAGAGCCCCTCAGACAAAACAAGTATGTAGGTTTGAGACTAGCAAAGGCAAAATGAGAAAACAAA